GAGAGAATTTTTGAATATTTATTTTTCAGTTTTCGGCAGACACAACATCTTTTATTTTTATGTGGTGCTGAGGATCGAACCCAGCGCTCCGCGCATGCCAGGCAAGCACGTCACCACTTGAGAGCCACATCCCCAGCCCCAGGAACTGTTTCTTATCTGTCTTTGAACTCTTCCTCTCAAACATTGTCTGGCACACAGCAGAAACTTAGGGTATTTGTTGCATAAACATATGAACACCCACCCCCTGTGTTCCAATCTCACAGACCAATTTACTTTGTCTTAAATATTACATTTCTGCTCAGGCTGCTTTCTCTACCTGGAATAATCTTTTTTATTTTTTTCCCTTCTTGCAGTAGAGGGATCAAACCCAGGGCCTTATGCATAAGAGGCAAATGCTCTACCACTGAGCTGTATGTATCTTTAGCTAGCCCTTTTACTTTTATGACTACCAAACCCTTAATCATTTTTGAAGATCAGTTCAAATGAACAGAAGAAAGAGGATTAATAGGCTCAATTAAAAAAAAAATCACTTGTTCTTCTTTGATACCTCTGCTCTGCCTAGAAGAATTAATTATTTCCTCCTCTGGCCTCCATTATAACAGTTTCTGAGCCTATCATAAACATTCCTATAGACAATGAATTCCTGCTACAGACCTTTGAGTACAGGAAGAGTATCCTATTAAGTTTTGTGTATCCAATGTCTACTATCATACCTGGTACACAAATGACTTCCAATAAATATTTTTGGAATGAATGAATGAATGATTACTGAAATAGAGTGAAGGTACAAATACTAGTTCTTTTCCCATAAGGAACACTGGCCTTTCATAAAACAGCTACCAGCATTCACATTGACTCCATCTAAGAAAGTAGGGATAAAGAGTTGTCAATGATATTTATCCTAGCATACCACAACTGTTCAAAGGAACTCATTTTAAGTAGGAAAAAAGGATTTATGATGAATAAAAATGGATCATCTAATGATTAATATGGATGAATTCAGTATCTAAGCTATGGTAAGTAAATCTGTAAAATGATCTCAATTTAATATAAATGTCAAAGCATCTGTCCAAAAGTTGTCAGGGAAGGAAAACAACTGTATTGTATTTGCATGGAAACAAGGGAGGAAAAACAGGACAATCATTTTCACTGTATTCTTATATAACAGTTTATTCAAAGATCTGTTGTGATCCGAGCTGAGTATTAAAACTTTATTCTGACTGATGAGACTTACCTCAGGAACTCTTTGCTCTGTTCCCACAGATCCTGGGTCTCTTCTTTAGCCATGTGTTTGTCCAGGTTACACACATTAGGTTTCTGGGAGTATAACTTTAGGCACTGCTTTACCCAGTGCCACTGGTACCCTGGGAGGAATGGGTTTGAGATAAAAATAAATCCTATACAAAAGACAGATAGGAAAAAAAAAAAAAGAAGGGAAAATTCTACTTAGTTATTCCGATCATTTCTTTTTGTTGACATCCTTATATCTACTATTCTGTCCTTTTCCCCCTATCTTTTGGTTATGCTTCAAGTTAATGAAAAATTAATTTTTGATAATTATCAAACACCCATCTCTATACAAGTCTCTCTGGCTTTTGGGTTATTCTTAAAGGGAACAAATATTTCACACAGTTAACTTGTCCATTTTGTTATCCCAAAGCAAACTTTAGAACTGAAAGTCCACCCTCTAATTTTCACCAGGCATCATCATTTACAGAATCATCTGAGACTTCTCAAATTCCCTATATCATTTACTGCCGGCACAGAGGAAGTTCTTATACTGAATTTAACTGAAATATGGATTTGAAAGTCTGGCTATAATGAATGAAGCCCTGGTTATTAATTTATTTTGTATCTCAGCTTCAAATCCATTCCTCTATATTCAGTTTGGCTTCATAATGTGGGGGCTGGGACCTACCAATTTCCTCTTTGCCAGTTTGCTCCCTGCTAAACTGTGCCCATCAGGGACAGTAATGGATGACTGGAGGGCTGAAGTTGGTTCTAATGTTGTTTTTTTTCAAATCATTAGAACCAGACTCATTATGTTCCTCCTTCAGAATTCTAAGTCATGGGGCTGGGGATTGTAGCTCAATAGTAGAGCATGGAAAAGATTCGTTTTCATTCATCAAATATAAAATACATACTATGCAAAAGGTACTTTCTCAAGAATTAGAGATGAATAAGGCTGGAGTCATGGCCCAGCACATGCCTAGCATGTACAAGTGCCTGGGTCTGATCTCCAGCAGCAGCAGCACCAGCAGCAGCAGCAGCAGCAGCAGCAACAACAACAACAACACACACACACACACATAAATAAATAATTAAGAATTACAGATGAAAAATTTTGTTTGAAGAAAGGGAAGTACCTGGAGATAGGTTAGTAGAGATGGTTGGTTATACAAGCAATTCTTTTTAGGAGCCTGTCTATAAAAGGAAATCAAGGAGTAGGGGGTCACAGATGAATAAAGTACTAAAAGGGAAGTTTATGGGTTTTAGGGATTGGTAAGACCTAAATATACTTACAGACTGTGAAGAAAGAGCCATTATCGAGGAACTGGTTAAAAACAAAAGAGAGGAAAGAAACAGAGCAAGGTCTTGAAAGAGATACAAGAAGGAGAAGTAAGAGGGTGAGAGAACTGTCACTGAACTGAAGAAATTTTCATCTTAGAGGAAACGAATGAGAATATCTGCTTATAAGTGTGGGGGCCACCAAAAGCTGAGAAGTTCTTGCCTGAGACTTGGTTTTCCCAATCAGATAAATAGCAAGGCCATCTCCGCAAAAGAAAGAATAGCTGGGGGGAAAGTCATGAGGAACAAGAAGGAATCAATAATAAAATTAAACAAGGGGCTGGGGTTGTAGCTCAGCGGTAGAGCACTCTCCTCGCACGTGTGAGACCCTGGGTTTGATCCTCAGCACCACATAAGAATAAATAAGTGAAATAAAGATATTGTTTTAAAAAATAAAATTAAATACAATTAAACAAAAAAGCAATCATTATATATTAATGTAAAGCCCACAATGCAAAGTATACCAAAAACAGATGAAGAGACTAAAGCTCAAGAATTTCTAAGTTAAATGTTGAAAATAATTAGAGGCTCTTCAATGCCTGGTTGGATTTCAGATCTAGCTTAGGTAAAATGCTGGAAACTTTTTATCAAGGACTAGACATTAAATAGTTTAGGCTTTGAGAGTCATTTATTTTCTTTAGTATTCAACTTTGCCACTGTTACAGAAAATAGCCATGGATAGTAAGTAAACAAATAAGCATGGCTATATTCCAATAAAATTGTACTTACAAAACCAGGTTGAGAGGTGGGTTTGGCCCCTGATTGTAGCTCACCAACTCCTGGTCTATATCATGAACACACTATGGAAATGTCCTCAAGGAGAATTACTTTGAAAAGCAGATAATAAAGACAAGGGCTGAGGCTAAAACAAAAACAACTATGATATTACTAAACTAAGCTTCCTCTCTTCTTTTTGGCATTTAATTTAAACACAGGATAATGTGAAGTTTAATAACAACAAATATGTTTAGCTACTAATTATAGTAGCTACTAAAAACTGGATGCCTACTGAGTGTCAGACATTGTGCTAGTAACCTTAAGCTATGTCATTAATCTTCAATAACTTCATGAGAAACTCATTAATTCAATTTTACAGATGAGAGAACAGAGGTTCAGAAAGGTAACATGGCTTCACTGATTAATCCCTCTCTCAGGGCCAATAGTACACATTTCGGAGATGACAGGAAACAAACCTAAGATCCTTACCTTATACATTCTAGGCTCTAATCAATTGAGTCTTTGAACAATAAAATCAGTGGTCCACTATCAGAATTTTAGATTTTAAACCACATGAGATTTGACAGAAAGGAACCTGCACTGATATAGTAGAAATATATAGAAAATAACCTGAAGGGGCTGGGGATGTGGCTCAAGCGGCAGCGCGCTGGCCTGGCATGCATGCGGCCCGGGTTCGATCCTCAGCACCACATACAAAACAAAGATGTTGTGTCCGCGGAGAACTAAAAAATAAATATTAAAAAATTCTCTCTCTCTCTCCTCTCACTCTCTCTTTAAAAAAAAAAAAGAAAAAAGAAAATAACCTGAAGATTCTTCTATTGTACTATATTTTATTAAAAAAACTTAAAATTTTGTGTTTAGATTCTTGCATTTATGGAAAAAATTTGGACAGCTTAGTAATAATCACTGATGAGTTGGTTACTGCAGTTGACTAATCATATCAATAATTTAATATTTATAATAATAATTTAATATTATCAATAGCTCATACTAAGAACTAGCCTAATGACCAAAGTTAGCAAATTGGCGGTACCAATGAAATTTCATACAGCAGAGTTTACCTAAGAAAAAGTTGAATGTTTTTGTTTTTTTTTTGGTGGATTTCATTATTTAGGCATACTGTAAATTAATGCAGCAAGAAGAAAAAAATCATTGCAAAAGGCTGGGCAATAAATATAGTTGATCAGTCATAGAAATTCATTTTAATGGTTTGACCACTAATCTGATCTGCTGCAATATTGAAGATTAAATCCAGAAGCCTCTACCACTGAGCTATATCTTCAGCCCTTTTTATTTTGAGATAGGTCTTGCTAAGTTTTCAAGGCTGGCCCCAAACTTGTGATCCTCCTGCCTTCTCTTGAGTTGCTGGGATTACAGGAGTATACCACCATGCCTGGCTAATCTTAGTCTTTCTATGTCCTCTAATGCATCTCCAAGACATAGAACCCAACTAAGGTTCCTAATTTTACATTTTATTTAGCAGAAATAGTCTCCAAATAATTTGAGAGGGTGAAAGGATAGCCAACATTTTAGGGGGAAAAAGGGATATAAAAAACAAAAAAATTCTACTATCTATCATCTTTGATTATCATTTTTTCACAAAATAAAGATGGTAACATCTCCCAAAATATTAAAGGAGGAATACTTCCGATCTAATAATATCTTTAACAGTGAAAGGAAATTAAATGCTTCTTTAGGCAATCCATTTCAGGCCATTTCAATGTTGTTCTCCTTTTACTGGGTTAAAAATCTGCCTCTCTTTAATCTGCATGCATTGATCTTCATTGGTCTTAAGTCCCCCCTCCCTCCCTTACTGGAGAGTGAATCACGAGCCCCTTTAGCATCACTAGCTCTTTTCAAAATTTTTAATTTTGGTACAAGATGTCACTAAGTTGTTGAGGCTAGCCTTGAAATTGTGATTCTCCTGCCATAGCCTCCTGACTTGCTGGGATTTCAGGTGTGTACCATTGAACCTGGTTTGGTTTTGAGTTCTGAAATCTACAGCAATGCGCAAATTGGTTTTTAATTCTTTCTGATAAATACCCATAGGTTTATAGTTAACATTTACTGAGCACTTATGATGTTCTAGGCACTGTCCTAAGCATGTCAATTTCCCTTCTACCCTCTCTACTTTACTCCACTCTAATCTGTTTTGGATTATCTTGTACAGTTGCTGATGGGTGAGGTGAACACTATTTTTATATCTTTTACACATTAAAAAACTGAGGTCAGGAGAGATTAAGAAAATTTCCCTAGGTCAGTTAGTACGTGGTAGAGCCAGGAAAAGTCCAGGTAGCTTGGCTTAACCATCAATCTTTTTTTTTTTTTAAATATTTATTTTTTAGTGGTAGCTGACACAATATCTTTGTTTTATTTTTTATGTGGTGCTGAGGATCGAACCCAGTGCCTCATGCATGCTAGGCAAGAGCTCTACCTCTGAGCTACAACCCCAGCCCCTTAACCATCAATTTTTAATGCTTTCCATCCCTTCTTGTATTTGACCATTTTTCAAATGTTTGATACTGTCACATTCCCCCTTCAAGTCCTCTCTTCCCTTACAGGTTTCCAGACCTGTAAGAACAGGTTTGGTATACTCAGGCTCCTCCCACCCCTGCAAAAAAAAGACTCCAGTTGTCCTTTTATTGTACTGTTGGACTAAGCCTCCTGGTATCATTTCTCACCTTCTTTTTAGTACTTGCTTTATTTTTAAAAATTTGGTCTTTTTAGTTATATGTGACAGTAGAATGTATTTTGACTTATCATACATACATGGAGTGTAACTTCTCATTCTTGTGGTTCTACATGATGTGGAGTTACACTGGTTGTGTATTCACATATGAACATAGGAAAGTTATGTCCAATTCATTCTATTGTCTTTCCCACTCCCATTCTCCCTTCCTTTCCCCATTCCCCCCTGTCCTATCTGGTGAACTTCCACTCCCCCCAGCTCCCCTATTGTGAATTAGCATCTGCATATCAGAGAGAATATTCAGCCTTTGGTTTTGGGGATTGGCTTATTTTACTTAGCATGATAATCTCCAGTTCCAACATTTACTGGCAAATGCCATAATTCCACTCTTCTTTTTTTTTTTTTTAAAGAGAGAGTGAGAGAGAGGGGGGGACAGAGAGAGAGAGAGAGAGAGAATTTTTTAATATTTATTTATTTTTTCTTAGTTCTTGGTGGACACAACATCTTTGTTGGTATGTGGTGCTGAGGATCGAACCCAGGCCGCACGCACGCCAGGCGAGCGCACTACCACTTGAGCCACATCCCCAGCCCCTCCACTCTTCTTTATGGTTGAGTAATATTCCATTGTGCATATGTACCACAGTTTCTTTAACCGTTTATCTATTAAAGAGAACCAACCTACTGTAGATTCCATAGCTTAATTACTATGAATTGAGCTGCTATAAACATTGATGTGGCTGGGTCACTATAGTATGCTGATTTTAAGTCCTTTGGGTGTATGATGGGAGAGGGATACTCAGGTTCCTTTAAGGTAAGTAAGATTCAGAAGTAGACATATTCTTTCTTACTAAGAACAAGAGGCCCTGGACATTATACTTCTATTTAATGCAGCTTACAATGGCAGGGAAGATGGAAGACATTCTTCACATAATGAAGCTCTAACCCAAATAATGTGGCTTAAGTAGGAAAACCTAGAAAACTTCAAAAAAGCAGGTATATCAGTTTGGGTAATACAAAACTTAAGTGAAATTGGTAACTTTGCAGTACAACCTGTTAAGAAAGGAAGGCTTAGTGTGACAGAAAATCATGGCACTAGAGTTGAAAGATCAAGAGCAGCCTCCAAGGAATAAGTGCATATAACTTTATGTACTTATTCCAAATTACCCAAACTCACAGAGAATGATGTTTTCATATTTGAACATCATCACTCATCTGTTTCCATCATGAATTCATACAGAATTTACAGCACAAGGCCTGCCTTTTATAGGAAGCAATATAGCTGTTTACACTTTCCCATCATAACAACAAATATTTTAGTAGTCACAATGTAGTAAGAGCTCTAACCAAGTTCCACCTCTCAGTACAATGAAAACAAATATTTCTTTTTGAAGATTCTCTCACTTTTGATCTAAATTGGAAATCATAAGTGTAACATAAACTTTTTGTCTTTTAGAAAAAAACAGAGCTAGGTGTGGTAATGCATGCCCTTAGTCTGAGCTACTCAGGGGGCTGAGGTGGGGGGACTGATCTCACAAGTTTGAGACCAGCCTGGGCAAAACACTGAGACCCCTCTAAACAAAAAACAAACAATCCAAATCCAGGATGGCAGATATAAGATTATTTGGTCCAAATAAGGCATTTCTATATCTTCTAAATGGTTTATAGTAATTAGTTTACAACAGCTCCACGAGTCAAAAAGTTAATTAATATTACTCTTACCTTATTTTCTCTAAAGTAAACTACTCAACGTCACTAAATTAAAAATTCCTTTTTTTTTTAAGAGGAGTGAGAGAGGAGGGAGAGAGGGGGAGAGAGAGAGAGAGAGAGAGAGAGAGAGAGAGAGAGAGAGAGAGAGAGAGAGAGAGAGAGAGAGAGAGAGAATTTTTAATATTTATTTTTTAGTTCTCGGCGGACACAACATCTTTGTTGGTATGTGGTGATGAGGATCGAACCCGGGCCGCATGCATGCCAGGCGAGCACGTTACCGCTTGAGCCACATCCCCAGCCCCTAAATTAAAAATTCTAAAGTAGTCTATTAGAACTTTTGATCATTACTTGTGATTCTTTTTTAAATAGCCTTGATAGCAACAAGTCTTAAGTTGTTATGTCATTAGAGAATGTGACTGGAATGACATTATGAATTATTCTACTATTTAAAGCAATTATTTTGGCAGAAGTTTACAGTTGTAACAGAGAGCCCAGAGTCAATATCTTTATTTTTTATTTGTTGTTGGCCACTTTCTGCAATATAAGGCAGGTGCCGCTTACTCTTCTATCTTTTGGGAATGCTAAATAAATGGGTAACTTAGATAGAACAATTTAGGATGTGTTCAGGAGTAGAATGCCTCTGTTTTCTCCTTACATGCCATAACTCCTATGAAATTAGAGAAATCCCTTTGAGGTCAGGTGCACTCACCAGGATAGCCTTCAAGTCCATAGGCTCGCCACTTGCTGACTGGCTGAAGTCCTGCTCTATGTGCATCGTGCTCACTCACTGAGGACACACTTAACTGAGATCTGACGACCTGGCAGGAAGGAAACAGAAGCCAGAGGGCTAAAGCTACTTTGTAGATCAACACCAGGAACCTCAAACTTTCAGAAATTTCTCGTACGGGGCAATATTAAGAGTCTTACTTCTGGGATTCTAATCTTAGCTCCACCAGATACTTGTTCTAGGACTTTAAGATGAATTACTTCCTAAAGCCATAGTTTCCTCATCTATATGCTAACAAACATTAAAGATTTATATAAAATTTAGCTAAGTGGCAATTGAAAAATTAAAGTGGACTGGATTTGGCATTCAAAACTACCTTTTCCTATGAGACCATACTTTAGTTGCTCTTTTTTTTTTGGTACCAGAAATTGAACCTAGGGGCGCTCAACCACTGAATCAAATAACAGCCCTGTTAACTTTTATTTTGAGACTGGGTCTCAGTAAGTTGCTTAGGGCCTTGCTAAGTTGCTGAGGCTGGCTTTGAACTTGCAATTCCTTTTGCCTTAGCCTCCCAAGCCACTGGGAATACAGGCGTGTACTACTGCACTTGACCTTTGGTTGCTTCTTAAAAGAACTTACAAAAAAAGTGGGCGGTGTACTGGAATATCCCAAATCACAATGGTATTTACTCTGGTTAGCCCTAATAATACTTCTTCTGAGGCACTGGCATATGATTGTTGTTTAAACAGAGCTATGAGAAAGAGCACTGGGAACCCTATTTACTATAAGTAGAACATTTTTTCTCTTCTAGATGAAATGATAATGCTAGAACTTTTGTTGTTGTTAATTACATAAAAATATTAGGAGTTAATGAAAGTTTCTTTGCACATAGAGCACCTTAAGAATGGCTCATTATATACAGTCACTCAGTCAAGGACATTAAAGAGAAGAATTTTTCCATGAATAATAAACTTAGGGTCTGGCTTACCTTAGATGACATCAAAAGTCCTCTTTCAAAGGTAAGTGATCTTTGTCCTACCAACTTTTGAAGTATGGAGATTTCTAGACAAAATAGCAACAAGTGACTGGTGTATAACCAGTTTTTATAATAAAATGATTATCTGGAACTCTCTAAGAGTCCTAATCAGCTGAGTTTTCCAACCGATAAACACTGTCATGATTTCTTAAAAAGGCCACACTTTGCACTGCACTATAATTCAGCAACATCTTCAGAGTTGAAATTTGTGTACTTACTCAACCATATGCCAAACTGAATGAAACCAAACCACTGAGCTTTTAAAAAAAAATAAATAAATAATTTTTAGTTGTAGTTAAAAATAATACCTTTATTTCACTTATTTATTCTTATGTGGTACTGAGGATTGAATCCAGGGTCCTGCACGTGCAAGGCGAGCGCTCCACCACTGAGCCACAACCCCAGGCCCCCAAAGAGCTTTTAAAATAAGTTTTTCTGAGGATTGGGGATATAGCTCAATTGTAGAATGCTTGCCTTGCACACACAAGGCCCTGGATTCAATTCCCAGTATTACTTGCTTCCCCCACCAAAAAAGTTTTTCTTGCTTCTTCTCTTGCCAGACTATTTTCTCCACTGATCTTACCAGTTTTATGACAGCAATTTCTTAATATGTATTTTAAATCTGCTTTAGCCCAAGGAACTAAACATCTAAGCTTTCATGTACTTAATACACACTGTATTTTTTTTTTTTTTTTTTGGTACTGGCGATTGAAAGAAAAAGCACTTGACCATTGAGCCACATCCCCAACCCTATTTTGTATTTTATTTAGACAGAGGGTTTCACTGAGTTGCTTAGCAGCTTGCTAACTTGCTGAGGCTGGCTTTGAACTTGCAATCCTCCTGCCTCAGCCTCCTGAGCCGCTGGGATTATAGGCGTGCACCACTGCACCCAGCTCACACTGTATTTTTTTGAGTGTTTGCTGAGGGCCATTGCCAAGTAGGAATGACGCATCGAAATTTCCTTGCCAGCGTACCGTACCCCATGTTAAATGGAAATTCACTGTGACATTGCATGTGTCTTTGAGAAAGGTGACCCTGCTCAAGGACCAGGGTGGATCCAGGTTTAGGGTGTATCCTGCAAGTTTTAGGAAGTATCCCGGTTTAGGATAATTTGGGTTTAAGGCGTTCCCGGTTTAAGACAATCTGGGTTTTAGGGAAGTTCCAGTTTTAAGGTTATTCCTGCTGGGAATAGGGCGTTCCTGCTGCCTGAGTTCCCCTTGAGCTCTCGTGGAATTCAGAAAGTATTTGGGACGTGAATTATGCGGCGGGCAGAACTTGGATTTCCCCAGAACATGTGTAGAGACCGGTGTGAGTTCGGGAATAAAGAATTGCTGTTTGAATCTACAAAGCTGTGAGTGGCTCGTGATTTTGTGCCTAGCCAAGACTGCAGCAGTGTTATTTTGGGTATTGAGCTAGACACAAAATGTCTGGGGTAATCGTGGCTTATAGTCTAAAATGTACTTATACATTAAGATAAACTACAGAGCCATTCCATTTCAAGTCTGGGTCCAGCTGCGGTGCTAAGATGAATGCCCCTCCAGCCTTTGAGTCATTCTTGCTCTTCACCATTAACAAGGACACTAAGGTGCCCAATGCCTGTTTGTTCACCATCAACAAAGAAGACCACACACTAGGAAAAAAATCACAGCTGCTGAAGGATCCACAAGTGCTGTTTGCCAGCTACAAAGTCCCCTACCTCTTGGAGCACAAGATCATCATCCGTGTGCAGACCAGCCAGGCCTATAGCCTGTAGGAGGCCTTTACCAACACCATCACAGACCTCATCAGTGAGCTCTCCTTGCTGGAAGAGTGGTTCAGGGTGGCCATTAAAGACTAGCAAGAAGGGATTGAATAGTGGGTCAGAAGGCGCTCCGGCACCTGTGAGTCTAGTTCCTACCTCCACTGCACCCTTCTCTCCAGGCATCACAGAGGAGTGGCCAGGCCCAGCCATCACTCCCGACAGCTTTCCTTGTGACCCCCTTCCCTGACACTGAGGTGTCCTGTACAATAATTTTTTTTAACTTCCTAATAAAGTATGATAGGAAAGAACCCAGTTGTAGCAGAGGTGATTTCACAGCAGGTAGATTTTCAGGCTTTGATGGAGGCAGATAACCTGTTACAGACACTTGGGCCACATTTCAGAGTGGACTGGCCCAGAGGCCCTGACTTCTGTCTGGGGGGTGCTGAGAAAACCTGTGCACATCCATGAATCTGTTCTAGAAGCCTCAGCTGCTGGGCCTGCATAACTGCAAACAGTGCTCCAAGGTTTCATTTCATGTCCGAAATAGAGAATTTAATAAAACACTCATTGATAAAAACACCAAAAAAAAAAAAAAGGTAAAATAAAGGAAAGTGAAGCTGAATAGGGTTCTGAAGCTTTCTTCTTGTCAAGTACATTACACTCTCGGTGCAGACATTCTATGTTATTCAGACAACTCTATAACTGATTTTGCTAACAAATCAAGCTGCTGAGAAGTTAAGCTCAAAGTATGGGGTAATGATAGCATTAGTTTTATTGAGAACTATTACTGCTTGTAAAGAATGCCTCTTCGGGACACTGTGGATAACATCAATGGCCCATTAAGAGATTATAGGTTCTCAAGGTTAAAGTGATTGTAAAGAAAACCCAACTGCAGCACAGCTGTATTTCCCCTGCAATACCTTCTCCACACTATTTCCTTTCTTAATCTTCAGTGGTAAAAATAAAAATAAAGAAGGGTTCCATATGCACTCTTCAGACATTTACTTTGAATTCTGGGGGGATTATTTTAGAATCCTTCCAACCACCTCTTTCTTAAAGGCCCAGAGAGAAGCCTGACTGGAAAGGCTTAACTCGCACGGGCAGATCCTTGTCAGATCTGGGATTGGTAGGTAGTAGGTTTTGAAGTCGCAGAGCGCTACCCTAACGTCTACAAAGACTTTTACGGGATTTTTACATAAAATAAAGTAGAACCATAAGGGGACAGTTAAAGGAAGAAGTAAACACTAATTCTCAGAATTTTTGGGGACCGAGGCAGAGAAGCAAAGCGTGACTAAACTCGCAGAATAACGTTTTGTCGCCAAGCGTGACTGCTGGTGGGCAGTTCAACTCCGAGCCCAAGGATCATCGGTCTGCAGGCGAAAGGGGCGAAGAAGCCCCTTTAAGAAGCAGCACGAGGTGATGCCGGGACTCGAACCGCACTTCTCTCCGTACGTACCTTATGGGCAAAAGGACCCGTGCCGCGGGCTGCGTGGGCCGCCGAGAAGTCGATGACCCCTCCCAGGTCTGTGGTGCCGGGTCGGCTTTGTCGGTAGAAGCGGAAAAGTTTTCGAAAAGCGTCCTCCCCAGGTTCTGTCACCAGCGATGCCACAGAACCCACGACCGCCGCCATCTTCCCCATCTCGCTCCCTGACCGCTATGACCCGGAAGCATATCATCCTGCTTGGGCTCCGACAGGTTCTTCCGGGGTCACGACACCAGCTCACGGAGGTTCTTCAGTCTGAAGATGGCAGCTTCGGCGGCGAGAGGTGCAGTGGCCCTGCGTTCGAGTTTTGGTCGTTCGGTTGCTTTTGTCAGAAAAATCCCTTGGACCGCAGCGTCGAGTGAGTAATGGAGATGTGGATGAGGCTGAATTTTAAGGTCCAAGCGATCCCCAAAACCTCTTGTGCAGAGCACTGAAGTCAGCGTGGTGGTAGCATTAGAAGGCCAAGTTTGCTTCCAGGCAAACCAGTGCACAGAAGTGTTCTTCACAATTAAAAGGTTAGGGAATGCCCCCTGAAATTTTAGGGCACGAATTTATGATCTCCTGTAATTTGGAGTGATTTGGTGGAAACGTTTATTACTTGGTCACTTTTTGAAATTTATGATTTAGAAGGGACTGTTTTGACTGGCAAGATTGTAGGCATGGCTACGAGATAACAGGCAGTTACATTTAATTCAGAAATGAAAACCTGAGCGAGGAAAGAGGTAAAAGGGAAGGGATCAGATCTACTTAGGTCTTCAGAAAACAAAATCAGTGGAATTTCGTGATGTCTTGCGAGCGGGGTGGTGGTGTTATGTAATGAGGGAAAGAGCAGTTATGTAGTTGGATTTTAGGAGGAGGAGGCTGAGAGGAGATGGACAGTAAAGTCGGAAAGTTGAGATTTTAGAAGCTTGTGAGGTCGCTTTCAGGGTACTGGACAGAGGTTGTACATTGTGATTGAGAAGCGGACTCTGAAGCCAGACTTGCAACTCAGCCATTTAGTAGTTAAGAAAACCTGAATAACTGAAGATAATTATGGGAAAGAGGCTCACAGCTCTTTAATTTAGTGTAATCATCTAAAAAATGGCATCAATAATACCTGGTAGCATTGTGAAGAGGATTAAATGAGCTTATATATACATTTCTTAGATTTGTTAAAGTACTCAACAAATGATATTTTCATGATTACTAAATTTGAAGCTCATGAGAGAGGCCTATTCTGGAGATAAAGGGTTGGAGAAATTCTGAACTCTCTTGTCAGTTGCAGTATTAAGGTTTTTATATTTACTAAAACTTAAAAATTCACTATCCACTTTGATAGATGTTCTCATGTATAGACCAGTCTCCTTAAATAAAAGGATGGAACAGGGTTATTTTTCTTAGGTGTCCTCCCCATCCCCCACTGGGGATTGAATCCAGGGGTACTACCACTCAGCAACCCCTCAACCCCTTTTTATTTTAGGACAGGGTATCCCTTAATTGCCAGGCTGGCCTGGAACTTAATAACTTCTTGCCTCAGCCTCCTGAGTATCTGGGATTACAGATATGCACCATTGGACCTGGCTATTTTTCTTAGTTTTGGTGGCTCAGAGGAGAGTTTGGTTTGTGCCCCATCTTTCAGTATGTGCATGGTAAAGACCAAACCAAATAAAGTTTCTTTTTTGCTTTCTGAAAAAGGCTGAAGGTTTTCACCAGCATCTAATAGTTGCAAGTTTCTATACCATAATGCCTAGTCTAAAACTTTTTGTGGGGTAGGTATTGAGGATTGAATACAGGGGCACTTAACCACTGAGACAAATCCCTAGCTTTTTTTTTTCAAATTTTATTTAGAGATTGGGTCTCACTGATTGCTTAGGGCCTATTAAATTGCTGAGGCTAGCTTTGAACTCTTGATCCTCCTGCCTCAGCTTCCTGAGCCGCTGGGATTACCGCTGGGATTACTGTCGTGCACTACTGCACTTTGCCTGGCTAGAACTTTTAAAGCTCCATAATCACAACTTTGAAATACTTTTTCTCAGTTCACTTGCTTATTCAGCCAATATTTAACATTTATCTGTTAGGTTAAAGGCATTGTTTTTGATACTTATAGCTGTTTTCCCTGAATAATTATAAGTGATTAGGTAAAAAGGTTTCCATCCAGAGTTGTTTTTTTTTTTTAAGTTGCTGTGAAGAAATTCCTGAAATAAACAACTCGAAGGAGGGAGGGTTTATTTTTACCTCTTTTTAAGTTTCAGTCCAAGGTTGCTTACCCTGTTTTTTGGGCCTGTGGCAGCATAGTATATCATGCATGTGGGAGGTGTGTGGCAGAGGAGGGCTGTTCACCTCATGGCCAATGGGATGCAGAGAGAGGATCCCTTTAAGGGCACACCCCCAGTGATCTAACTTTTGTACATGAGGCTCCACCTTCTGAAAATTCCCCCATCTCCCAGTATCCCACAGACTGGGAACCAGGCCTTCAACATGAAGGCTTTGGGGACATTTACGACCCAAACCATAATATTTTGGAAGTGTTTTCTAGAACTTATAATAGATGGTGTAAAACATACATGTTTAACACGGTTTTGCTTTGTTAGCATCATGTTCTGTGATCTGATCTTTCCTGCTAGGTTGATCAACTATTAGGGACCTACAGGAATTTAGCTTTTGTGAATTGTTGAAGGATTATTAGTTTACTTATTCAGCCAATATTGAAGCCGTACTATGTATCTTACACTGTAAACTAGTGGTTTCTACTCTTGTATACGAGTAGTGGTGGGGCTGAGAAGACTTACAAACATAAATATAGGGAGTTGAACCAATTAAATTTAGATGAACTAAAAGATATAAGTAGATAATATAAAATTCAAACCAGCAAAATACAACTACTGTAGTTCAGAAGAAAAAGTGGTCATATAGGTTTCCATCTTTAAGATAGTACATTTTAGGGCTGGGGTTGTGGCTTACTGGTAGAGTGCTTGCCTTGGGTTCAATCCCTAGCACTGCAACAAATTAATACATTTACATGCTATAAATTTTTGAGGTCCCCCAGGGCTAGTACTTTTCCTGTGTGGCAGTAGGAGCCCCATAAAATAATACTCAGGAGATGTATTTGGCTTGAGTTTGGAAGGATAGTTATAACTTAGGAAGGAGATAGGATTAGAGACATATCAAGGGAAGAGAACAACATGTGCAAAAATGGGAATCCACAGGATACGATATAGAGAATTCCGTTTGCTAGAGAGAGAACTGTGGGCCAACAGTGGGAAATAAGGCAAAGGTCGATGAGGTCAACAAAACATTTTCAAGCACCAATTATTTAGCCTAGTATAAACTTTAAGTTATGAAAGACCAATAAATTGGGATTTTGTTTGGAGACCTCTAATATAGCTGGCAACACTCTGGATTGTAATTGATTTTCGTCTTCTGTGTGATCTACTCACAGGGATTATAATTCACATACCTAGTATGGTATCTGGTATGATGAAAATACTTAATATTTGCTGCATATGGAGACTATAGCCAGCCTAACATGTCCCCAACCCACCTTCAAATCTGGTACATTATGGCAATTTGGTCAGTCCTGTAGCTGCTTGTTGAAATCTTAAGGCTAAGAATATATAAAGAAGTTCTACAAGATGCTTGGGGACTCTTGGACCCCCCTTGGTTTCCAATTACAATCTAGGATAGAGAACACAAAATGTATTAAATATTTTTAATGTATTTTCTCCTCTTGTACAGGTGAGCTGAGAGAACACTTTTCTCAGTTTGGTCATATACGGAAGTGCACTGTACCTTTTGTGAGTATTATCTTAACTGTTGGGGTCTGGAGGGTGTAGCTCAGAAGTAGAGGCTTGCCTAGCATCTGTGCAGTCCCAGTATTATCCTAACTCTTGCTTTTTAAAAAAGAAAGCATATATTAATAATGAATCCAGGTGCAGTGGCACACACACCTGTCATCTTAATGACTTGGGAGGGTGAGACAGGGGGACTGCAATTTAGCAAGGCCTTGTCAAAATAAAAGGGTTGGGGTTATAGTTCAGTGGTAGAAATCCCTAGTACCAAAAAAAAAAAAAGGAAGCTGTTTAGTCTTTACTGATAAAGTTATGGGTATTATTGATTAAAACAACAAAACTTTAGGTATTTGTAGTAGTTTTTTTATTGTTGCATAACAAACTACCACAAACTTATAAAAACTTATAAAAAAACACGTGAGGGCTGGGGATGTGGCTCAAGCGGTAGCACGTTGCCTGGCATGCGTGCGGCCCGGGTTCGATCCTCAGCACCACATACCAACAAAGATGTTGTGTCCGCTGAGAACTAAAAAATAAATATTAAAAAAACAAAACAAAACAGGTGATCTGACAACTAGGCACAGAGGAGCTGATCCTCCCTCTGCTCAGGATTGTGCATGGCAATCCTATCCACTGGGGCTTCAGTGTGCTCCATTAGAGTCTCAGGGGAAGACTGACTTTCAAGCTCCCTTAAGTTTTTGGTAGAATTCATCTTTCAACTATAGGATGAAGGTCCCTGTTTTCTTAGGTTTTAGCTGGGAGCTGCTCTCACTTCCTAAGGACTGCCTGTAATTTCTGGTCACCTACTTTGTAGTCTGTTTTACAACATGGCAGCTTTCTTCTTCAAAGCCAGCAAGGGAGTTTCTCCAGTCTGTTAATATAGAAATCTTACATATAACCTAATCACCGGAGTGACAGTGCCTTCACTGTCAGAACAAGCATGGCAGCCTATCATCCTTACTTTATTCTTTTGTTGAGAAAAAAGTTACAGATCCTGCCTACATTCCAAGAAGGGGGGTTATACGGGAAAAGGGTGCATGGAGATATGGGTTCCATCTTCAGAAATCTGCTCCCTAAACCATTATAATGACTTCAGGTAGTAAAGGATAATATTTTAGAATTTGTAGTGTCTATTTTAAATTTTATTGAATGCCATTTAGTTTTAGTATTTCTAACCTATGAAACAGTACTTTTGTTAATTACATTTCATTTGCTTTCTCATGAGGATCTAAAAATCATTCTGTAAATTTTTTCTGCTTTATCCTAGTCTGTAATTTTCTACAATTACTGGGTTTTTGCGGTGGGGTATGTGTGTGTGTGATTGGAGTTTACACACAGTAACATTTCATGACACTGAAACAGCCATGGTTAAATATCATCCTAAATAAATTTAAATTCTTAACTC